GATAGATACTTGGCAAGAAGCTGTAGGTAGGCCTAGGGGAAGGTTTCCCCAATACCATGTTGCCTACAATGAACTGGAGGTTGACTACATTTCTTTTTTCTTTCTCTTTAGTATAGTTATTTGTAACCTAATATCTATCATATTCTTCTGTAGAGGGAGAATTTCGATGTTTATGAAACCCATCTTACTTATAATCATCTCTATTTACTGAAAATAGATTGATGCTTCATGTTTAAGCTAGAGTTACACTCATTGAGTTGCTTGTATCAAAATATTTACAGTCTGCTAATTAATTAATATTACATCCTGAACAGCGAATATAAAAAATAATATTTTCTGAGATCAAAGAAAATGCTTTACTTTTTTTATGTTGGAGAATAATTGTATCACTCATTCTTAGCATCTCTTTCTTTTTATACTTCGGAAATATTTTTTATTAGAACTGTAGTACAATGATTTATCTTAGAATTGATACTTGAGATGTGTTTCATAAAATCGTTACTTCTCTTTTAATTGTTGGGTTCACTGACTACCCGTCTCTCCTTTTTTATATATATAATTCAGATTGAGAAGCCTTTACAAAGACATGGTGGCAGGCTTGAGCACAATGAGAGCTCATGCTCTGGTGCTAAAATGGTACCCCTTTTTTTCCCCGTTTAACCGATTTCTGTACTTATCTTGACAATTTTTGACTAAGCTTAGGAGCTGCTTGATTTGAATCAAGCATTAGGAATGTTTGCCAATTAATGGAAAAATTCTAAAAACATCATATTTAATTGAACGTGAGCTTGGTTTTTGATCACCGTTTTTTGTCATCATTTTTACCTTAATCAATCGTACAGAAATCAACCTAGCTTTTCTATTTATTTAAAATTCAAAAACAACAAATTTGAACCGTATTTGGCAATAATGTTTGCTTCCTTCCAAGGAGAACAGCAGAGTTATTATAAAGGATCATATTGTCCCAATGGGTTGTTTTATAAATTTAGGTTTGATTGTTTACAAGGAAGACATGCATAAAAGAGGATGCAATTCATGGGATTAGAGCATGCTGCATGAAATAACAAGTTCTACATAAACTCTGTAATAAAAAAACATATTTAGTTAATACCCAAGTTCTACATAATAGGTAATGGACTTGCTCTGCTTTATGGTACTGTATGATGGGTGCATAGAAAATGTCTAGGATAAAAGTAGTGGAAATGAGGATTCTAATTATGTCATTATAAGAAAAATGAGAAAACAGAAAGAAGTGGAAGTGACATCAAATTAAAAGAACAATGGCTTAGATGGTTTGACATGTTACCTAAAGAAGCTCCTATTCATAAGAAGGACATGATTCTACTAAAATAGTTTAAAAGAGGAAGAAGCATACCAAAGTTAATGTGGTTATGTGGTTGCGAATATCTATTTGCATGGGGATCTCCAATAGATGTAGTGATGGAGCAGAGGGACTGACAAGAAATGATTCAAGTAGCCAACTAAGGTCATAGTGAATCAGACTTAGTCTGATATTGTGGGAGTTTGAGTAGGAGTGTTGGGAAGGGCAGACTGAAGAGTGAGGATGATTGGCGTAGAGAGATGAGGAAGTGTAGAAAGTGCTCTTGCCTAGCTTGTATTCAGCACAATTAAAAGAAGTTGTCAATTTGCACAAGCTTTTGTAGGTTTGGGCACTTGATTTCATATTTCATACATTTTTCTCTCTTATTTTCAACCACACATTCTTGAATAAAATAATATTACTCCCAAACCTGAAACTTTTCTTTATTTTTTAATCACAAATTCTCCATCAAAATATTATTCCAAAATGTATTTTGTGGATAAAATGGGGCTGAAATATGCTCTAAATATTATTTACCAAGTATTTCACAACTTTGATTGCGATTTCAAAATGATCGCCATTCGCATTGCATTTCTTTCTTATAGCGCTTTTTGATTAACTTTTGTTGATTTCAATGTATACATATAACAGTTGTTTTTGCTGGTAATTTAGCTTCTTCATTTTGGTTTTAGGTGGTGGGCTCCTTCAAAGTTTGACCCTATAAAATCACCCCTGCTTTTCTTTGAGAAGGGTATACCTGTGATGCCTCCAGTCCCACCTCATGTTGGTCTGGATATTGTATTATCACACATGGTATAGCCCCATTAATATCCCTTGTATTTTCTGGCATAGCTCCTAGCCGGATGATCTATTAAGAATATTAAGGTTGTTTTCTATTCAGATTTTGCTTAGACTTGTACTTGTTTAACGTATGTCTCTGATCAGAATGGATGCTTAACAATTTCTTTTGTTCTTATTTCCCTTCTGTTTAGTTATATATATCTGCACATTGGAAAGTTAAAATCCATTTACCTAGCTGATATGCTATATTTTCCAAACTAGATATCATTTGTAGCGAAAAAGGCCCGACCACGTGCAATCTTAATTTTTCAAACACAATCTCCAAGACATCTCAAAGGAG